GCTCTTTCAAAAGAAGCCATATTGAGAGGTGGGGATCACGCTTGAGAAAGAAGAATTTATGACTTCTGAGACAGTTTCAGCAGCAAGTGATGGAATGCTCTTAATATTTTAATTTGCATATATACTTTTTCTTTTACAGATATAAGACTAAAATACACAATCCCTGTTCAATTAAATTAGTAAATCAACCAAAAATATATTTAACAGCAATAGTTCGGTTGGTATTAAATAAGGCAAAAACTTGAAAGTAATGCCCCAAAGACTGAAGTTTCAAATGTGTACATCAACACGTCTCAAAAGGAGGATACCTGTCCTTTACTTTTCTTAGTATTTTTTTTCCAAGCCGCCACTCTCTTCTTGCCAATCCAACAGGTGTCCAGGGCAATACTCTGGAAGCAGGAGACTAATGGACACAGGTATCAATTCAATGTATCTGTCCTCAAAAAGAATTTGCATAAGCTCTTGCTAAGTCTACTGTCTTCGTCAAATAATGCCATAATAACGCCTTGTAACGCATCACTCAAAACTCAGTGGTTGCAAAATCAAGCATTTATTCTCATGATCAAAGATCTGTGACATGTCGCCAGCTGTTCCACTGATGTAAGTTGTATTCGTTTGTGCTTTGCGCTGCATCTGGGTGGGCCTGGATCTAGGCATTAGGTTCCTGCAGGTCTGTCGCATGTGTGTTTCTTCCAGGGCCCAGGCTGAAGGGGCAGAAGCTAAGCAAGTCACGTTTTCCCATAAAGAATCACCGGAGTGCAAGACTGAAGCCAAACCATGCAAGTAATTAAGACTCAGTTTTTACCATGTTTACCAGTGTTCCACTGGTCAAAGTTAATCACGCGGCCGAAGCCAACATCAATGGACTAGGAGAATACTTTCCTCACAGGAGGGGAAGAGTAGTGATTATTTGCTAAATAATGAATCCAAACCATCGCACCTCCTTCACTGAAAACCTTACATACTCTCCAGCTAGTGTGAGGGGTTTGGTTCACCTGTGTGGTAGCAGAAATATTAGCGCCCTAGGTGAGAGCAGCAAAAATCTACACAGAAAAGAAGTGGCAGGAACCCAAATGGTTCAGGCTTCTATGTGAGGAAACCCCACAGACCTTTACGGCACACAAATGGTGGCCTTTGTTTCATCTGCCCTCAGGCACTGCAGGGCATCTCAGGACATGTGGCATCCCCTCATCTATGGACCTTTACACCAGCCCGTCCACTCATGCAAATGTCATAACGCCACCCTACTTTTGCAGAAAAAGATTTTTTCCAAAACTCTTACCAATTTAATATTGAACTTGACCACTTAATTTCTTCCTGGTTC